AAATATTTCTTCAACTTGCATTTGCTAACTTTATTATTGCCTTTTCTGTCCGACTAGTTGGGTGATACTAAAACAATTAGACTCTTCGCCCTCAAGGGCCACAGGTCAATAGCCCATTCGGCTTCGCCTGATGGGCTATTGACCCGTAGCACTTGCGGGCTACGGGTCTAATTGTTAAATAGCATTCAGTGAAAGCTAGGGAGTGTTATCACAGAATTTACAGGTTATTAATTTTTGAGTTTTATTCCACTCTGTCAAGCAGCGTTCATTTTAATGAAAACTGCTGGGCAGAAGTCAGGTCCACCTTGCATAATGGGAAGCACGGGAGAGATGGTGCATAATTTTACAGATCTGTTGCGCTGGTGGCGTCCAAACAGCATTGACCCTTCATGAGACACTTGCCAAAACACACTTCACTAATAGCGCTAAAAGCTAATGGTTAAATACAGATAGCCAACGTTGTTGTTACAGATCATTTAAGCTCTTCTTCACTTTCCACTCAAGATCCCAGAAACAGAAGAACATTTTTAGCGAAAGTAGGTTACTCCAAAAACGTATATTTTTTGTCAACGCTAAATAAAAACCTCGCACTAAGTTTAACAATTCACCGAAGTTTCAGCCTCTGAAATGCAGATTTTCCTTATGAAATTCGCCTCCAAAGAAGTCCAAAATTCGACATCGTTGACGCCATTTTGAACAGTACTCAGCAGTCAGGCCGCGTTTTCGCGATGTCATTCCGTCCAAGAGATTTTGTCCAAATGGCTTCCTAAGAACCTTTTAAATATCATTCTGGGTTACGGCTGCTCTTGAGCCGTAAAATTTTGATCCAAACATGTTCCAAACTCCCAAAATGATAGCAGTGAAGGTAGTGAGGGGGATAATCACTTGGAAAAATAAATGTTGATGGCCTTGTAAAGGATGCAAAATCAGTTGCAGGTTTTTCCCCTTTCAACCCATTTCGAGTCGGACGCAATGATGTCAAATAAACACGGCCTCGCTGCCGAGTACAGTTCAAAATGGCGGCCGCCGAAGTCTCTTCTCTTGAGATGAATTTCTTCAGGATAGCGGGCACTTCAGAGGCTGAAACTTCACTGAATGTTTACTTGCTATAGGTGAAGATAAAAAAAGTAACTTTTTTCAATCAATCAATCGATCAATCAATCAATTTATTGAACGTGGTCGGTACGCTTAGCTAAAAAGCTAGTTTACAGGTACGCCACTAAAAAAAACAGAAAAAAGGAAATCATAAGAGCCTTATGAAGGTATATAAATTTAAATAAATTAAGATTACGAACTAGCTAATATTAAAATATAAGTGAGTGGAATGACCTCCTTTAATTGTTTCTTTCGATCGCAAACAGAAGGATCTATTCAACATCAAATTGAAACTACCAAAATCAACCCTTTGAAGTTACCGGTCAACAAGAGGTTTTGTAGTAACCGACTGAGCAACTCCACATCGCAGAAGACAAAATGTTCCCTCATCACAACTCGCGATCAAGTTTGCAAGAGATGATGACACTGACGTTAATGATCCATTATCTTCTGTGTTGACAAGAACAACAGCACTGGACAAGAAGCAAAGGTCAAGTATTTGTCCTTTATCGGTCACAGGGTAGACCCTCAGAAGAATATCTACATGTAGAAGAAAACCATAATAGAAATCTATGATGTTTGCGTCGGAAACACCTTAGTTATCACAGAGGCAGATGCTACAAATACGAGCAATTCATAACCTCTGAAATCTGCAGGGAGCATTGCGTAAGCCAAACCTATCTACCCCGGGATTCGGCAAGTGCGGCCTACCTAAAATAGTAACCTTAATTAATAAATTGAAGTGCGTATTTTCTGGTGCGTATCCATAAATGAAGCACTGTTGCATCGAATACACGACTATTACAAGTATTTGGTTACTTCATGACTCACCTCTATAGACATCCCACACAACGACTGTTCCTGTTTTCAGACCCATGGCCATGAATGACCCACACTCACTAACTGCGCTAATGAGTATCTGCTCCGAGTGAGGCCACACTATGTCTGGCTTATGCTCCAGATCTGAGGAAGAAACAAAGCAAACCTGCGCTGAACTATAATTTTGCCTTTCGACTTTCAAGCAATTCTTTCAGTTGCTGTGATCAACAAGGTCTAGTGACCATGACCATTAAGCGCCTCTAGTGAAAATTTGTGCTATTACACGCTGTCAGTATTGCTGCGCTCCAAACTTTATTACATAGGTTCAGTAGAATATTTCCCATGCCTGCATAGTCAGTAAAGCCAAAAGTATAATCATTGAATCCAGAATTTTTTATACAGAACATTATATACAAATTGCAGTGAGCAGGTTTTAAATTGTTTACCCTTTTATAAATCATTGTCATAGAATTTTCATAGAATTTTCAAAATGCAAGTAGAACAACACGTACAGGTAAGTCATTTTTACTGCAGAGTATTTTACATCAGATAAAAGCATACAATGTCAGTTCATGTGTAGTGAATTAGATTTTACATATTTTCCTTTTATATGTATAATTTCTTCGACTACGGCCAAAAAGACATTGAGATGTTAGAAAAAGTTGACATTTTTGTTAAAATGTTTTGATCAATTCCATACCTTTTGCAGTCTTGACAAGTGAATAAATAAATAGCTGAGTTCCTCCAGACCACCATACTGACAAGGAGTTGACCTTAGCTGAATAAAACAACAAATGCCTTAATGCGCATACACTGCACACTTGAGTAGCTGAAAAATGCTACTTAGAGCAACCTGTGCTGGCCTAATTTGATGGCAAAATTCTTGTAAGGATCCTATAGTATCCTGAAGCTGGAGTATCTTAAATAGAAGGGAGCTTACTAGCTTACTATAAGAACCTTGCCACGTCCTAGATGCTTTGTTGTTTTGTTGGTGGCTGGTAGCACAGTACTACCGCAAAACGTAAAAGTTCTTTACAATCCTAGTCAAGATCCTGTAGGATCTTATTCGAAGATCTTAGATAGAATCGTAGAGGATTCAGTAAAGATCCTTCACTTCAGTCCCCGTGAAGATCCTTCTTATGCATCCCTGCTAAGATCTCTTAAGAAAAACTTGCTAAGATCCTCAGGGATATGTAATGGGACTTGAACGATCCAGTAAGATCTTCTAATAGTTTTGCGGAATCTTTGGAAGGACTTTTTAGATCCCGAAATAAATAATCCTTTACAACCCTACAACTTTTATCAAGATTTAAACACACAATCGGATTGGCTACACTTGGTAGTCTGACAGTGGATAGATGTCTGGCAGCAGAAGCTTGTCAAGTGTTGATGATGGCTTCAACTGTTTGCTTTCCTGGAAAATTTGATCTAAAGAAAACCAATCTATTTCTTTCCTGATTTGAACAGTTGGTTGATGGGCTATGCTCTAATGAGACTATAACTTTGATAGTTTGTTCTAGGCTTTGCCCCACATCAACTGTTACCCAATAGAAACCTTTGGTAAAAGCTCTTCATTTCACTGTTATGTTAGTGATTACCAGCTTGAAGGCAAGTCTGAGATGGATAGGGCTTCAGAATGGAGGTGACATTCATGCACCAGGAGGACGAAACCCGGTAGAGAGGCCAAGGGCTCTTGCCGCTATTGTTACTGCCTCCCTGATCAGTACAGCCTGACAGTCTGATTCTACTCACCAGGTGCAGACTCTAATCCTGATGGAACTAACCTCCCAGGTGTTAAGAAATGTATTTTAGGAAAGCTTTAATAGAAGTAGAATGCACAAATTAAATATACAGTAACTACCGGTAATATCTAAGACTGCATGAAACTTCAAAGAATGAGGATAATGGAAGAATTAGTAATAGTGGTACATTTATGTATGTAGCATTATGCCATGATGCCTTCAGTAATAAGATTTCATGATATCATGTGAGGAGAATTCAAGGGTCTGAAGTGGCTAGTGACCTTGTCAGATCCTCGTCATTTTTATTCAGATACTGCAGTTCGTTCTTGTGAAGCTGACGGATTGTTTTATCGCAGCTGTCAAAAAACTGCGACATCAACACATGATTAGAACCACTCCCAATGACATTTCCCTCTGAATCAGTGGCTTTTAAAGCTGCAGAGCAGTTAGTGGCTGCACAAGGGCCAACTGGAGCAGGGGGTCGCACACGTAGTACTGCTGTAGGCTTAGTGAACGAGACTGCTGAAAGGCCAGGCTGGTTCTGACCAGCCTGAGCAGAGCTTGGTCTTGACCCTGGTGGAGACTAACAGAAAACATAGAATACATTAGCACTGATTGAAAGGCTTGGCTGGTTACAGTGTACAAATAAGTTCTTATCAGGTTAGTGTGGACTGTCACATCTGTCTTAAGGCTCAGGTGGTTTGCCAAGTGGGCGCTAAGTCAGGTTTAGTCTAGTCTGTTCATCAACAAAGGATGCAGTTTTGAACAAAATTCTTACATTTTCAGATAGATCTCCGAGAAATATTTTCATAGCAGTCAAGCAGAAAATTTATGCTTAGTTGTTACTGCTCCATACTAGATCACCAAGCTACTTTTTGTATGATTTTTGTAACTAACAAATTTCCACATAATTTGGAGAGTGTAACTTACAGTTCCAGTAGCTGGATCTTGCTCTTCAGAGGATTTTAGAAGCTGGTCTGGTACAGCTGCAGAATCGTCTAGATCCTGAGAGTTGCAAGAGTACAAATACGTTGAGCGCAAAGTGAACTGATCAACATGACACGAGCGTGGGACAAAGAAAAAACCTCAGTCCCCGACAGGAATCGAACCCATGACCTCCCAAACACCGGGTGGGCGCTCTATTAACCAGGCAGGCGCTCTATGGATAGAGCACCCGCCCAGTGTTTGGGAGGTCAAGGGTTCGATTCCTGTCACGGACTCATATTTTTTCTTTGTCCCACGCTCATGTCATGTTGATCAGTTCACTTTTCACATTTCATTACCGAGCTTAAAATTCACCATCTTTATTTACTTAAGTTAAGTGCACTTTTAGCAAAACATGAACAGGAATTTGTTTAAAAATGAGCTCACTGGTGCTGTTGATTCAACCATTGTAGGTTTCCTAGAACGAGCTCCCATAGTGGCCACTGTGGTTTCTACCT